ATGTATTATATTATTAGGAATTTGTTTTAATTAAATTATATAATGTTGTAACTGAGACATTTTTCAGTATGTCTTTTTTGGTCTATTTACATTTTTCATCTAGTTTATCAGCTAGATTTTGTCAAACGTGATGTGTTCATCAGCTACCAACTAGCTTATCAGTCATCAATTAATTTATCAGCTAACAACTAGTTTATCAACTAGGTTGAAAAACATAGCCTTAAAACACTTCAACAAATTCTCCAAAAGTTTTCTAAAATTGATAACCGAAATTCAAAGTTAAAAAAAAATTGCATTCAACTACATTATATTCTCTATTTTGAATATTATATCATTAATTATATTATTAAAATATTTCATATATTTAATTAAATATTATTTCTCTTTCATAAACGTTTCATTTCAAAGTTATCTACGGTGGAATAATAATAAAAACCCGTTTCTTTCACATGGTTTTCATTTTGGACGAGTGAATTGTGGATTTGGTCCGTACGTTTTATTTTTTTTTACTAAGGTCCCTCTGGTATGTTTATTGTGGATTTGGTCTTTGTGGTATTCAATATGTTTTGGCCATGGTCCTTCTGACTATCGTCTCCGGTAATTCCGTTAAATCAATGGTCATTTTAGTCTTTTTGCCTATTCTTCTGTCTTTTTACTATAAAAAAGTAAAACAATATTTCTATACACACAAATATAATATAACATATAAAAAAATAAGATATTATTTTATGATTTGATTTGTTTAAATTAAAATTTAATTATATTAAAAACGATTTAATTATCTTGTTTTAGTATTTTTGCCTATTTGGGTATGAAAACCTGGTTGAAGTTTGTATAGCGATTTGTTCAAATTTAAGTTACAAAAATTTTTCGTTTGTTTAAAATCTAAATAATTGATTTTGAGTTTTTGAATGAAATACATTATGAAAACTGGAAACCCTATTGTAACACCCCCAACTCCACATTTGCATAAAATTCACATATATTTCATATAACATGAAATACAAATTATATATTGGTCCCAAATATATAAATTAGACGAAGACTTTAAACAACAACGAAAATCAGATAATAATCACGTAACAACTTCTTCTCTTTTCTTTCTTCTGTTTTGATCAAACCCAGTGACCAAAAGTACTAATACAAGAGGCGGTGTAAGTTTAATTATTTTAAACCAATTTTTAAAAAAACACCCCTCAACTTTCAAACTATTTCAAAACAACCCCAAAACTTGTTCACAAATAAAACCCGGTTATCACACCTGATGTTAAGATAATAAAATTGGAATTCATTTCTTAATGGTTTTCACTTATTTTAGTCTTCAAATATCGATAACAAACTCGTACAAAACAATAATAGAAAGAGAACAAAAAAATAAATAAATTGTCTTTGACACAATTATGTTTTTTAATTTAAATAAATCAAATCATAAAATCATATTTTATTTAATTCGTTTCAGATAAAATGAGATATGATTTTATGATTTAATTTGTTTAAATTAAAATTTTAATTACATTAAAACAATAAAACCATACCACTATTGTAATAAAACAATAAAAATTAAATCGTATTTAATACAATTAATTAAAAAAAATTAAACAAATCAAATTATATAATATAATCCTACTTATTTATGTTGATATGTATATACACACACACAAAGTTGGGTTTACGTGAGACTGAGAGTTTTTTGTGAGACCCGTAAGATCAATTT